ATCTGTAGACAAATGGATATCCCCTCACAGAGGGACCACAGGGAAGAGATGAGCCAGTCAGGGTGCAGTATAGCATGCACACTACTACAGATAAGAGCCCACAACACAGGGAAGCCAGGATAGCTAACACCGGCGCCCCAACCCCCCACCCCAGGGCCAATGAGAGTAGAGATATCAGGAGGATACCAGGGAGGGAGGGGTAAGAAAGGGGGAATCGATCACAAGGATCAACCTAGAGACCCCTCCCAGGGGGGAGAATATCAGAAAAGTGGGTGAGGGGCGGGCGACAGAGGGTGCTGTAAGATATGAAAATAATAATCTATAACTGATCAAGGGTTCATGAGGAAGGGCAGGCAGGGGTGGGAGGGGGAAGAAATGGGGAGCTGATATCAGGGGCTTAAGTGGGAAGACAATGCTTTGGAAATGATGATGGCGGCATAAGTGCAAATGTGCTTCACACTTTGGATGAATGTATGGATTGTGATAAGAGATGTAAGAGCCCCCAATAAAAGTATTAAAAAACAAACCCAAAACAAGTCTACAAATTCTGCGTAATTCTAGAAATGGAAGAAGACATATCTAAGAATTTTTGTTACAGCACTATTTGGAATAGACATATTCATTAAATAGACAAATCAACACGCTAGATATCATATCCAAATATGGAATAAATGGCACAGGCTAGTATGATACACGGTTGAGAGGTCAGTGGGGTGGTGCTAGTGCAGAGTGGGGCCACGGCAGGCCTTGCAGTGTGCTATGACTTCACACACCGACACGGTGTGTTCACACAAGCCCTAGACCTACCCACCACCAGGTTTCCAGTGCTCAGCACCTAACACACAGTGACTGGCCACAAACACTTACTGTGGGACCCCACGAGTAAAAGGAGGATCACCGAATACCCCGCAGACAAATACCAGATGACATAAACGATCTGTGCAGGGGGGCATTAGGGATCACAATTGATGAGGGAGATCTGTGTTTGATCTGGAGGGCAACCAAGAGAAGCCCCAAAGTCCTGTGCAATGGAGTGCTGTGAGTGACTACTGAAAGAAGATTAATTATAACACTACTGACTGGAAGTGAGGCAATGAAAGGCAACAATTAAAAAAAAAATCTGTGAAAATGCAAGTGAAATATACGGGCACAAAAGTCAACATCAGGTTCCCAACCTTTAGGGCAGTGGTTTCAACCTTCCTCAAGCCATGACCCTTTCATACAGTTCCTCCTGTTGCAGTGACCCCCAACCATAACATTATTTTCTTTTTTTAAAAATTAATTAATTAATTTTTTTTCCTTTTTGTATTTTCATAACATTATTTTCATCGCTACTTCGTAACTGTCATTTTGCTACTGTTATAAATCGTCATGTAAGTATCTGACATGCTGGATTATTTTCATTGTTACAAATTGAACACAACTAAAGCATAGTGATCAATCACGAAACAATATGTAATTATACATTGTGAAATATTTATTTCTAATGACAAATCAATGAAATGTTGTCTTTAAGCATGGTGTAGCCTGGGTCACAGTCCACGTCGGGTACTCGTACGTGGGCACATCTGCATGTGGGTGGACCCATCCTGAGACAGATAGAGGAGCGATAGAGGAGCGGTGTCTCGATTTCTAAGACCACTGGAAAAATGTGTTTTCTAAAGGTCTTAGGTGACCTCTGTGAAAAAGGTCATTGGACCCCAAGGGGTCTTGACCCACTTGAACCACTGCTTCAGAGTCTTTTCTGTAGGCTGAAAATTGTTGTAGTGGAATATACTTTGCTGTGTAAATCATACACGTGTGGAAATATCTAACTTACTTATTAATTCATTGAAGACCCCTTGACCTGTTTCCATTTAAAACTTTTTGACCATTCAGTCAAAACACTTTTAATGATAGAACAATACAAAATTAAAATACAATTACCAATATGGCGTGCCAATGAAAGACTTCCGTTTGGCAATCGTAGCTGTTATCTGTGCAGACACTCCAAAATCAGCTACAAAAAAGGGAAAAAGATTAAGAAATGAAAAGTAAGAGAAAGTGAAATAGTTTTAAAGACATTTCTAGTCATTGTTTCACTAAGCAATTTATTTCACAGAAACCTGAGGTATCCTCTAATACAAAAATTAAAACTTTTACACTTTAATGGACTCATATGAGAATAACACAAACATGATCAGAATATGTCAAGCCAAACAGATTCCCCCGTATCCCCACATGAACCAAATAACAACGAAGTGCATTCGAGAGCAACAATCCTGATGAGAGAGTTGAGAGAATCTGGCCTGTCCCACTTTGTGGCTTCACGAATTTTAATACCCAGGACCTAGAATTCAAGGACTATCCCTGGAAGGGTGCCTCACATTTCCCCCACGCCCTGTCACACTCAGGAGGCCTAGTGACTGACGCCAAATCCATCAACACCTATGGGCAACTCCATGTAACATGCAAAGACCTTCAAACAGAGTTATTTCTAAAAATTTACCTTAGCGACTCATTCTAATACCAGTCAGAAGCTTTACTCTGTGTGTAGGATTGTGACTGTTCCCTAAGGTAAGAATATCGGGTTGTTTTACGGGAGGGTGGAAGGAAGGTGAGGTAGAAAGGGGGAACCGATTACAAGGATCTACATATACCCTCTCCCTGGGTGACAGACAACAGAAAAGTGAGTGAAGGGAGACATCGGACAGTGTAAGACATGACAAAATAATAATAATTTATAAATTATCAAGGGTGTGGGGAGGGAGGGGAAAAATGAGGAGCTGATACCAAGGGCTCAAGTAGAAAGCAAATGTTTTGAGAATGATGAGGGCAACACATGTACAAATGTGCTTGACACAATGGATGGACGTATGGATTGTGATAAGAGTTGTACGAGCCCCCAATAAAATGACTTAAAAAAAAGTGTAGGGGCG